GAGAGAGAGAGAGAGAGAGAGAGAAAGAGAGAGAGGATGGAGTCACAGCTCCGAGGTGCGAATTTGCCTATTTTTAGACACGTGCTTGTTTTATTGCCCGACTCGGTTCTTAGCCCTGATTGGCCATTTTTTTGTGTCGCAAAGGCCCCGTGTGTCCGCGACTCGCCGGTACCTCATTTACACGCTTTTTTTTAAAGCTCAATGTGACGTTTTAGACCAGAAGTTCGGCCATGACGGGAACGACGCAAATCAAACCGTGCATCGTTAAAGAAATCCAGTCGCGTTCATGCTAAGTTCGTTTTCCGTTTCTTGTCCCCCCGGCATCTGGAGGATATTTTGGAAAATTAAAACGTTCATTAAAGACCTAGCAACCTGTCTTCCCGCCAGACACGTAGGCATCATCGCCCCCTACAGTTCAGAGCTAAATTCGAATTAACGTCTAATTAAATAGAACTTTATTTGTTTAAAATCTCTCCGAAAGAGATTTTAAAAATGAAAATGTCCATAATGGGGTTTCTTAGCCACACCCCCAAATGCTCTCATTGGTTGAAATAGGTGAAGTCATAATTTCCTAGAACTAAAAGCTAGTACTGGTGAACATGAGACCTGGGGTTTGTCCGTATGTGTTTTCAAAGCCGGCAATCGTTCGCGATAAAAAAATGTTACCATGAAAATACTGCAAGTAGTAGTACAAGTACTACAGAAGAGGAACTATACCGAATATAAACTTTTCAACAGTACAAGCGCTAGTACTAACCCACCGCTAGGACTGATGAGGTCAGATAATGATGCTAATAGCTACGCTAACTCGATATGATACAATGGGATGGAATAAAGTAAGTAACCGATATTCGAACAGTACGCTACAGAGTACAAGTCTGTGAGTCCTTGGGGTTTTTTTTAGGTACTAAACGCATAAGGAAAAAATACTTTCTACTTTTTTTAACGCATCAGTGTAACCCCCCTGTGATTAATGCCTGACACACGAGAGTGGAGGCAACACACCACAGTCCTGCCGCGGCTAAACCGCAATCCTCTGATTACAAGCTGGATCCTTTAACCACTGGACCACCGGCTGTACCCCCCAGTACCCACATTCACATGAATGGAATCTAATGAACCCGGGGTGTTAGACCTGCAGAGTGGTGGGGTTAACGAGGACCTCCCCCCCGGAAAAGTTTAGTTTTGTTATTTTATAGTAAATGTACTTAGCTTTAGCTCAAGCTAGTAGCATTAGTTCACTGCTTGTATCAACCGTTGGTGGCGTCGCAAAAGGTCCTTCATATTCACGTGAAAATAACAATGTCCTCAAAATGGACAAAAACGTGACTGTGTGTGTTTTTCTCTGTCTGGTCTTTCTGACGTCAGAAGGCAGTTTAAGATAAAGACGAGGTCAAACAGCGCTGCTTCACAACAGCAGAAATTTGTGTCCCCACCAATATAGAAATACCAGCATGTATGTGTATATATAAACATATGTACGGCAGCTGAGAGCGTTGAAAGAGAAAGTGATCCGCAGTCACAGTGATGTCATGAGTCTCAGAACACGTTTTATGACAGAGAGGGAAAATGTGTGTGTGTGTATATATTTAACAGCCTTGAAAAACATCATATCACACCCCGGGGGGGGGAGGGTGTTGTGGGGGGGCGTTGAAATGTCACACATGTCAAAGTTATCACCCGCCTGAGTGGGAGCGGCACGCACACACACACACACACACAGACGTACCAATATAAACGACGGCGTTACCAACATA